CCCCTTTGAGGGAGGGAAGTGTTTAAACCCAGTGTTTTGGGGGTAAGTTGCCCAGAAATCTTATTTGGTGTAAATAATCCAGCTGGTTGCATTCATTCCTTATTTTATTTTTCCTGGAGAGTAAACAGCACTGGTTCAATCTCCGCAGATGCAAACTACTTTGAAAAGGGAAACAAAAAAAGCCAAACCAAATGTAAATACTGATGAAAAAGTTTAAAATTGATGTGACAGAAATAAAACAAGAGCCAAATTTGCATCAGTAGCCAGTTTCTTTGGGTTAGGAGCTTGTTTTTTTGTGTTTTTGCTTGAGCAGATAATAACTTTTCTGCTATAAAGCAATCCTGGAGCCAGATTCTCTCTCTGAATGTCTTTGTACCCAGCAATTGAGACAACTTTGTGCAGAATGCTGTTAAAAAGAATACAACACCAAGGCTGCACATCTGTTTCTCATTTCAGAGCAAGTCCTTTTACTCCAAGCCTGTATTTTTTTTTTCCTTCTGCCATGAGATTTGGGGGTTTTTTAACTTCAGTAAACAGGCCAGAATAAAAAGGTTGCTCATGAAGTGGGTTACTGGGTATCATTTACTGAGAAAACTTTGGCAATCCGTGGATTTGGTCCTGTTGTGATGATGTGCATCCACAGCTTGATTTGTTCTATTAAAATGCCACAGTGTAAAAAAAAAAAATCAGTTCTGGAGCTCTGGCTCTGAAATGGAGACTGAAATCAAGGTTTGTGGCATCAGCCTGAGAGATCTGCATGTCAGGAGAGGGTGGATTCTCCTGGCAGTGTTTGGAGCAGCCGTGAAATCCAGAAGGAATTGGTGTTTTCCAGCTCTCCTAAGCTCTGGAAAGTGACCTGCAGGTGAGGAAAAGCTAAGAGTTCATCAATAAATCCTTCCTGCTCCAGCTTGCCAGGCTGGATGCAAGAATTATCTATTTCTGGTTCTTTTTGTTGTGCTTTTATAGTTGTTTTGTTCTGCCTGGCAGATGAATTGCTGCATAGGGACACATCACTGAAGGACTGGGTTTATTCCCTGAAAAAGCTCAGGTGGGGTTTTGTACGTCTGTGGTCAGACAGTAACTGGTTTGAGATCAAGAATCAAATAAATTGTAGCATCTCTCGTGTATTTTGCTCCTGTAAAGCTGTTCTTTGGGAGGATCAGAGTGGGACTGAGGATGGTGGGGAATTGTTCAGAAGTGCAAAAGCAAATTGATGCCAGCCTTGGGGCTTTGGGCTCTGCTGGACGTGATTAAATAGGAGAAAATGTCCTTTCCATGCAACAACAAATTGGTCACTTATTAAATCTGGAAACATTTTTTAGAATTATTTCATGGCTATTTGTTGTCCAGCCTGGTTTTATTCCTGTGTGATTATTCCCTGTGTGGTCTCCTGGCATAGGAATCTGAGATTATTTTGCCTCATTCTTTTTCCTTTCTGAGGTCTGGCCAGTGGCTGCTGAACAAATCTGTGTCCTGCTCCATTTATCAGAGAAAAGCTGCTGCTGACTTTGGGTAGGAAAGGTTAGATGTGGGCAGCTTCATGGAGTTCCTCCCTTTTGTGGCACTGGAAAGTTTTAATCATCTCAACTGGGAAATGAAATCCCTGAGGGTGACAAAATGTTCTCCCAGTCGCTGCCTGTATTAAATGGATTTCAGTATAGTGGGTATCTTCTTTAGTGGTACCTGCTCAGGCAGCAGATGTGGTGCTGCAGGTGAATTTTGGCTCTCTGGGATGACATTTGTTGGCTCATGTGACTGGAATTCTGGGTTTAAAACTAATTAACAAATACTTCCATTCAGCAGGCTGTCCTGGTTGTAAAAAGGAGTTGTTATAATCAGCAAGTAAACTTTTTAATACAGCTTTTCAGGCTTCTGTGGTTGCTGCTAGAAGGAAAAAACAAAATGTTTTTTACTGTTGTGCTTTAGGGTTTTTAAGAGTATGGCCAGATTTGTTACCCAAACCTGAATTTGCAATTGTGGCACCATGGAAGGTCTCTGCCACACGTGGGGAAAATAAATGTTTAAATCTTCCCATAGCAATAGATGGGGTCATATTAATGTGCACCAGTACAAAAAAAAATCTTAAAATAATGTACCTTCAACTCCTGGATCTGTAACCTTATTAATACTTTATTAATATTAATACTTTAAGGAGCACTTAATGAGAGAGTGTCTAGCATTGCCCACGCTGATGGCAGCACAAAGGACACGTGGGTTTAAGGAAAGGCTCTGGGTGAGCTCAGGAGTTCCTGGCAGGGGCTGGACAAGCTCTGCCCATCCCTGAGATAATTCAGGGCACCTCCTGCTCAGCACTCGGGGTTCTGCACTGACTGAGGGAGCAGCACCTGGAAATTCTCACTCCAGGCTCAAACCCCAGCTTTTGGGAGCCAGGATCAAAGCAGAGGTTGCTGAATAACAAACCCAGCCAGGTTTAAGGGCTGCTTGATGGAAGAGCTGTGTATAGAAAGGTTGCACTCAATTCCCTGCTCTGCTTGTAATATCTGCATAGCCCAAGGGGGTTTATATCTTTCAATAAGTTCTGCCCCTGGGAAGAGACCAAAATACCTCACTCTTCTTGTCCCTGCATTTCTCTGGGGTGCTGTAATAATTTAAAATAAGGCTGAGGTTTGTTGTGTGCAGGCTGGGGATGGGTTCAGTGGGCTGTGAACTCTGATCTGGCCTGCAGCACCAAAAATCCAGGTTGTGGTTCCCCAAAAAACCTTGGCTAACCCTGCCAGGGTCGGGAATTCCCACAGGCAGGGCTGTGAACACACTCCAGGGTTAGGAATTGTGTCTGTGCAGGGCTCCACAAAGAGCCAGGTGCAGGAGGCTGCTGCACTTGGGTTGTTTCAGTGGAATTCTGTAACCCAGAATTGTCATTAAATGTGTGCACCCACAGTGCAATCCCACCATATTTAGCGGGTAGTATTGAGAGTGATAGTATTTTATCTCAAATAAAATGCTGGAGTTTGTTCCTCTCTCTGTATTGCACTGTGAATGTTCACGTTACTTCATTTATCTCAGGAATAAAAAAACCCAAGAAAAATACAAAGAACTGCTCTCAATATTAATTTTTTTAATCACTTTTTCTTCTTTAATTTGTGATTATGTTTATCAGTCATTGTGCACACACACCAAACCCCTGTGACAAAATAAATCCTTCAAATATGAAGAACAATTTCTGTAGATTCAGGAAGAGAACATGAAGTGCTGATTTTGTTTATTTTAGAAGTGTAAGTGTGGTCAAGGAGGTGCCAAATGTTTGATAATCACCTACATCTGTCTTCCTTTTCGTAGTTGTGTTTCTGTTGGTGCTTTTTGAAACCTAATTCTGCACTAGATAGTTTTGCATGAAGAGCTGAGTGAGGATCTGAGTCTGTTTTTAGCAGTAAACTTAGAATCCTGTCAGCTGAATAGAAAAATGGTTTTTAATGAGCTTGAATTCCTGTAGGACTCAGTGTAAAAGCTCACAGGATGTGTTTTGCTGAAGAATGTTGTTGGGCAGGGTAAGTTCCCACAGTTTTATCAATGAAATGGGTGTTTGGGACCATTAGGAATTGCTAAGGTGTAAGATTGTTGAGTGTAAGTTGTGATTTGATGAATTCTGACAGGAGTATTTCTGTTCTTGTGGAAATCCTGCCTCTTCTGGATCCAGGGTGATCCTGGTGGTCCTTCCACTTTCTGCTCCTTTCTCACTAAATCTGTGTGGCTTTGAGGTCCCTGCATAAACCCTGCTCTGCTCCTTGAAGTTCTGGAGGCAGAGCCCTTTGGAATGCTGCTCCATCTGGGAGAGCAGGCTATGAAATGACAACAACTTGGAACAAAAATAAGGAAATAATGGATACTGGGATTCCTCAGGAAGAAGTTCCTTCCATTTTCTGCTGTCCCAAAAGGTGTAGAATTGTGTTCATGTCTGATATTTATCTTCTCTTCCCTCAATCTGCATCTCACTGGGTTGAATCAGCCTGGCAAATCCTTCCCTAAAGCTGAAATCGAGTTCTTCGTGCTCAGGGCTCGAGAGGAACGTAACTAAAACCTCACAGTTCTTGTAGGAACCTCTAAGATTGTCCAAATAAAAGAAAAACCTGGAAAATTAAAGCAGAAAAGCAGAGAAAAATACAGCAGCCTCAGAACCACGAATCCCTGGAGGCTGGGAGGAAGTTGGGCTTGGATAACTGCTGGGGGAATTTTTTCAGGCTGTCCCAGCATGGTTCTTTCCCTGACCTGGTACACTGGAACAGGCTTTCACTGTGTTTTGTGGCACTCAAACGCTCCTTTCATGGCTTTGCAGCCAAGTTTTCCTTCTTGCCCTATCATCTGTCTTGTTAGAAGCTTAAAAATGAATTTAAAGCAGGAAATCTTAAACCCCACTTCTCTTCCCTCTCGCTTCCAGCTTTCCTCACTGTAGAAATTGAGTTGGGGAAAATGATGCTTCTGTTCTCTGTCAGTTTTACCTGTTTGAGTAGCCAGTCATTTTCTGAGTGTTCAGAAAGATTCTGCTTCTATTTTATTTATGTATTTTAGTTCTACTTACTTTATATTAAAATAAAACAATCAATAACCATATTATTCAAATACATAGTCTCTCTCAAAATAAAAACCTTCATATAGTTCTAATCCTTAAACTTCTTTAAAATTTTAATACCTTTCTTTTACCTCTTTTACAATAAAAAACACAAAATAATTATTATACTAAACTCAATAATAATAATTTATAAAAACTTCACAAAAATACTAAAATTTCTGCCAAGTATATTTAACTTATAATTTCTAATTTATAAAAACTTCACAAAAATACTAAAATTTCTGCCAAGTATATTTAACTTATAATTTCTTCATCCAACCCTACTTCCCAATCCCAATAACACATTTTAAAAATTTATTAATAATTACACACAATTTGTCAAAAAAAAACCCAAAAAACCAAACAATAAAACATGAGGATGAATCAGATTATGGGTATTATATTTGAAATACTTTTCTTTTTGTTTATTTGGCAGGTCCTTGACCAGTATGAACGAGAAGGGTTTAATTTCCTAGCTAAAGTTTTTAATTCTTCACATTCCTTCTTGGAGGACTTGACAGGTCTGACTTTATTGCACCAGGAGACACAGGCTGCTGAGGTAAGCAAATAAAAATTGGATGTTAATTAATCATGTGACCAAATGAGAGAATCAAGCAGCAGTATTTGATTTACAGAAGGATTGACACAATGATTTGGACAGTCTCTTAAATTAATTGTAACTTTCTATATCTGAGTTTTTCAAGTGTTGCTTTTGAAGGCAACAGGTGATTTTTGTTATGTGGTGTTAAGGAAATCAAAGGTAATTTTAGGTCAATTAAAATGTAATTATGCTGCTGGATGGATTATAACGTGGGGGGAACAATGCTGTGCCAAAACATGGAATTTAGGCAGAAATTGGGGTGTGTTTGATCTCATGGACAGCAGCACTGGTGATAACTCAATGTTGAGTTGTGATGCTGTGTTCCATAAAATCAAAACAGGTATCTCCTAATATTGTATTTAACAATGATTCATATTCCTTCCTCCCTCTGCCAAAATCTCTGCCCTTCTACATCATCATTTAATTTTGGCATAGCTGATATCTCTACCCTTCCACATCATCATTTAATTTTGGCACAGCTGTGTCCCAGGGATGGGTCTGAAGCAGTGATAATTCAGTGCCTGTGTAAGTGCTGGAGCTGTTTTTTCAGCTGGAAGAGGCTCCTCAGTGTTTCTGTTTATTAAGTGTTGGGTGGATAATGATGACTTAGCTCTGTTTCATGTTTTAATCTTTGAAAACTAATTGTAGCAGATGCTGGAAACATGAACTTTGAAATACCTAATGCATTCTGAAATCAGCATGGTCATACCTAGAAAAAAACTTAAATATATATATGAGAGGGATCCAAGAAGGGAAAACAATCACCCTTTATCACGTGCCACTCATTACCAGCAAGAATAATTAAAGTCTGATTGCCAGGCCTGAGTTTCAGTGGTCTAGGATGCTAATGTAAAATGTAAAAACAGTTAAAATCAGTAATGTATTATTTTGTAGGTATTAATCCATAAATCCCTTTTGCAGCTTCAGAGTGGCTGTTTGTTAATGTTTTAGATAGTTTTAGTATGGTTTAGTGGTTTTAGATGCTCTCTACAAATGTAGAGTCTGCTGTGAGTTCACTGCAAGTTACTGAAGTTCAAAGTTTTGCTTCAAACCCAGAATTTGTGTCCTTTCAAAAAATCCTGGGGTGCTTTAGTGGGGTTTATGCAGTCAAATCACTGCTCAGAGGTGGAAAATCTGACATACAAAGTATTTGCAGAGCTAATGCTTTCAAATTACCTTAACTGCCATAAAACCAGGGAGCTGGCTCGATTCTTCCCTGTGGGATTGCTGCATTTTTGGGAAATTTCATCTCTTCTAGCTGTTAACCAGTTTAATAGTCTTGATGAATCTGTGTTTATGAATGGCAAGGGCTGACAGGCAGATTATTTGTAAATTCTGGAGGATTCTGGATTGCTTTGGATTAAAACCCAATTCTTTGTTACATCTTTGCCACGGTTGGCTCTGAAAAATAAAGAAGTTGTTTTGTGCTCCTCCACAAGTCTCTCAGTTCCATCATCTGGGGCAATTCTTTAGGTGCACAAGAGAGTGCTTTCAGTGTCTTTTCTGCAGAATTACTCTCCTATCTCGAGCTCATTTTCTCCTGTATTTCGAGCTCCTTTTTCTCACGCTGCAGCTGGGGGAGTGTGAGGTCTGCAGAATGATTTTTTGGGTTTCTGGCTGCTCTGCAGCTGCTCCTGGCAGAATGTGTTCCATAAAATGGAGCCATTAGATTTGCTAAGGCTGCTGCTCCTTTGATTTGAGATCTTCTCGTTACACTCCAAAGACCTGCAGCAAAAGCACTGAGAGCTTTCATCAGGTGGGTATGGACTGGTTTGGGATGGGAATAGTTCAGTTTTCTGATGAGAAAATGAAATACCTGCCTTTTACCACTCAGACTCTTCAGAGAGGTTTTGTGGATTATTGGTGCGTTTGGAGACCATAAAAATTGCTTCTTGTAACTGCAGATTTTCCCTTCCTCCTGTCTGGTAAAATCTATCCAGTGCTAGCCCAGAACTATAAAAAAAAAATAGACTTGTAAAGTTAGATGTCATCCAACCTTATATTTACCCAGTAACATCATCACTGGGTTGTAATTCCATATATAAATCCCTGATATTTCACTAATAAACCTGCATCTGATAGGAGAATTACTCCATCTTGTGCTTATTTTTAAAAGGTTCACTGGTAAAATGTGAATTCATTCAGAGCATTTCACTGAAGATTTTGCCAAGAGTGTTTTGTTGTGTCACAGAAACTGTTGTGCTGCTCTTATGTTTCAATTTTTTCTTAATATTTTCTATTTTTCTTTCACCTAAATGCTTAGCTGCTTTCGTGATGTGTGTAAAAGTGCTTTAATGAGAAAGTTTTTCTAAGTTTTGAGTTTGCTTCAAAGAGAATCTGGAGAAGTTGTGCATGTTCTGCAGGAGTGACTGTTAAACACATTTTTTGGGTAGCCTGAATTTCCATGAGAACTCCCCTCACATTATTAACACCGAGTGTGTTTGCCCAAATTTAAGGAACATAATTTACAGTAAGATGTGGGAGACTTCTCACTTAGTGAAAACCTTTTTTTGCCTTGCACTAATTCCTATTTTAATGTTTAATACCTATGTTTAATTCCTATTCCAGGGCTGTGCTGTTAACCATAATATTTTAATACAGATTCAGTGTAAAGTTGATACAATTGCAGGGTTTTTAGTCAATAGAACACCTATTCCTTCAACATGAGCTGCATCAGGAAATCATAAATATTCCCCATGATTTCCTTAGCATGACAATTAATAAATAATAACACCAGCAAGATTTCCTATCCTGTCTTGAACTGACAATACATTCCAGGCATCTGCTCCTTCTGCATCTGGCTTTAATTTAGGCTCTGTGGAACATTTTGGGGTGTTTTTTTTCCCCCAGTTGGAGCTTTGTGTGCAGCCTGTGATGACACAGGCTGGGAGGGCCGATGGGAGCTGTGGGAAAATCCCATGTCAGCACTCCAGAGCCTGTTTCCACTGGATCCAGCTCATCTGGGGAGCTGCCCCAGCTGATGGGAGCTCAGAATTGCTGTTTTCCACATCACCTGGGGTCTTTCCTGCAAACCTCAGCTCTTCAGCTTCACCCTTGTTTAATGGCTGGGCTTAAAATAGACACAGCCTTGGGTTGTTAATTAGAGGTGTGGAATTGGAGGCAGAAAAGTGAATGATTTCCAGGTCAGAGCTGCCCAGGACTGTTTCAGAGCAGTCCATCCCCAAACCCAACTGGTTTGCTCCCCTCGTGCTCCAGATTCACCCTGTAAAGGGTGTTGGGGTAGAAAGATGCTTTTCCTCTAAAATTTCTAAATCAGTCTCAACTTTTCTCATCCTAAATCACAGATTTGCTGCTAGGCTAAACTAATTTCTCTCTGTAATTCTCATTTCTCTCTGTAATAAGGCACAAGTGTAAATATCCTTTTATTTTCTTTGGATTTCAATTCCTGAATGACTTGGATGCTTTACTGCACTTCCTGCTTTCACCAGGATGAAAGAAGTCTATAAAACACACCACAAATAAAATTCTCACTTGGTTTTCTGATTAAAAAACAAGAATGGGGGAGAAGTTGCAATGTAAGAGGGTCCTAAAGAGCTTTGGAGTTTTGAATGTGAATTCAGGTCATGATGTCAGTGTTACTTTATTTCAGTAATGTTGTATTTCAAGTTTCTGTCTCAAGGAAAGTGTGGTGCCTCTGGCTTCTGTGACAAGTTCTTGTAGTCAGTGAATGAGGCCTCTTTGGTATTGCCAAAATCCCTTTTCTGTCCTGGTTGACTTATCCCAAACAATCCTTATTAATGGAAAAAATTAAAAAAAAATTAAAAAATCATGTTAGTGAAATACAGATAACCCCATTTTATCATTTCTGCACTTATTTGAGGTTTGTGCCTGGCCATTTTTCAGTCATTTCTTGAGGAACAAGGCTTAGCTGTAGAATAAGCAGCTGGTATTCCAAAGGAACTTTTTGCTTGTCCAAATTTGGAAGAAATTTCAGAATTTCCAGTGTGCTTTGCTATTAAAAATATCCTGCTTGTTCCTGATTCTGCATCTTATTATGCAGATTATTTGATGCTGAAACAATAACATATGAATAGCCAAAAAAAAACCCAAAAAAACCCAAGCAAAACATCAAAACCCAGCTACAACAATATTGTAACAGCAAATTCTGTAACTTGACAAGTTTTCTCTGTTAACCAAGTATTATTCAGAATTTAATTTTGCTTGGTGTTACGAAAACTTCCTAGAGAAATCATTTCTGATGGCTAGCCCAGAATTAATGTTTGAGACTTCTCTGTGGCTGTGAGCTTTTTTTGTTTTCCTTCACGTTTTTAATCTGGTGCATTTCTGGAAAAATTCATTTTGACAGATTCAGGCCTGCCCTGGAATTTCTTTCTTAAGAGATTAAGAGATTAATTTGTTTTCTTTCAGGAGGTGGGTTGTTTTTTTCTTTTTGAGTTTTCTCATGATGTCAATTAGTGTCATCATTTTTCTTCATTCATCAAGCAGTGTTTCCCAGCTCTTTGAATAATGGTAATTTTTATTATTTTTTTTCCTGCTGATGCCTTCTGCTGCTTTTGGAAGGGTTTAAAAATACCTGTACTACCAAAACATGAGCTCCTTGCTTTTCCCCTGATACCTTCACTGATAATTTCAATTATTATCATGAATTATATTCAAATGATCTTCCTGGGACTTCCATTGTCCCTGGAGGGCAGGGAGGGGCTTGTGCAGACATTTCTTTTTTTGGAGGGAAGGACAGTTGGTTGGTATCTAGTTATCATTTTTGTCTGAAATGTCAAATATATGGGGGAAAAAAGCCCCACTGAAAGAAATGGAATAATGGCATTTGGGTGGGTTTATCTACTTTTTTAACTGAATTGCTCTCTTAGTGTCAAAACATGGATAGAGTTTAAATCTCTGTAAAATTTCACAGTCCATCTCCTGTAATTATAAAATGGAAAGTGCTGATAGGAATAAATTTATTATCTCATCACTTT